TTTGAGAAGTGAGTCTGTCTGCCTCACGGCTAAGAATATAAAGATCCTACTTAGCCGTTATTACGAGGCTACCTACGTGGGTAGATCATTCCGTGCCACTGTTTTTTTCATACCGTTGCGCGTGACAGGGAAAATGGCGATAAGCAGGGCGGAAATCAAAATTTTGCTAGAAATGACGACAGCCGCTACACGAATTCGTTCAGGATACTTCGTATTGTCGAGATTTTTTAAGGATTCAAAAATCGCGAGGGTCTGAGAAATAAGAGAATGCAATAAAAGAAGCACCGAAGGTTTTTATGAAGCACCAATGTGCGTAACCACAGATATTTGCAAGCAGGCAACAACCTTCATTTGGCGATTATCATTTTAATATATTTTTTTCTGATCGTTTAAAATCGAAAGTGAGACAAGTTATCGTCGGACGGGACTCGATAATCAATAAACGAGTATCTTAAAAAAAAAACATTACGGTCCATGGCAGCCGAGACCCACCAGCTGTGTCTCGTGCGAATCACTGTCAGCCTTTTATCCATCCGTGTCAGAATTAACGAGTCTCACCGAGGATGTAGTCAGACTTTACTTGTAAAAGTGAGGAAAACGATGGAACCATTATCTAGTTTGCGCCGGCTAGCAAACAGGAGAGTAGCGCACTCGCGTGCATCCTTATGCGGGGTTTAACGGGGCACTTATTTCAGCTAATAGGGACAGGTGGTACTATCAATAAGCGGTCGGTACCATTTCCAACGAGAGACGTGCTCGCGCGAGGATCTTACGATGCGAAACTATTGCAATAAACCGCGATGACTCGCCCTCGCTCGGCTAATGGAGGCTGTCCGAAAAATCTGAGGGAGCAGGTGTTGCTTGCTGGTGGCGACGTAGTCTGAAAATGGCAGTGCTGCTGGCTGCGCTCTTTACGACCGAAAAGCAGGAGCTATCGCGTGACGTCGAGCGGTTAACGAGATGAATAAGTAATATAAACGATTCGACGACCAAGGCCCGCGTAAAGTCGCGCTCGTATTGCTCGTCTGCTCGTCGCGACTAAATTAGACGTTGACGGAGACACGAGGACTGATTGGACGCTGCTCGGTCAAACCTTGTATTCGGCATAAAATCGATTCGAAGAACTCAAAAAATCGCATGCCTCGAGCCATACATTTCCGTTTACGTTTTGCCCATATTCACCGTACGTTCGTCAGAAGGTTAAGCCTAGTTATTTTATGAACATTGTATGTGCATCTAGAAACAAGTCTCTTTTTAATTTGTAACATATGCGATTGGTTTGAAATTACATACAATGAATTTTGACGTTAACGAAGAAGCGAATTAAAAACTTTCTTTTTGTGAAGTATTGTATTTTTTATACAAATTAAATACTTATATTATCATTTATGCACCTTCGAGGACATACACTTCGAGTAATATATTCTCATACTTTTCACAATAAAATTAATTTTGGAATACATATGATCTTGTATGTAAAATTATTTTAACTGATCGTGAATATATTTCTTTGGTTTATCTTAATTGATGATCACAATCAGGAATATTGAATGCTTCAATAATCAATGTGGTCAATATGATGACAGGCTTACTGCGAAAGATATATCTGTTTATTGCGCACATCACATCGTCACATCACGATATATTAATATTTCTTTTTACGCAAAATGTCTTCATGTATAAGAATAACGGCTTTTTCTGTCTGTTACCGTATCTCTTTTTGCATTTCGCATCTTGTACCGCCCGGCAATTTCTATACGTGACTCGACGATTCGTTAAGGCGAAAAGAGTTCGGAGAATAAATTCCTGTTCATGGATCTAATATAATTGCAGTTGAGATCAAACTTCAAAACAGACAAAGTAGACAAAAAGCTCGGGCTGTGCCTCTATACCAACGCAATGGTTTTAATTAGTTTTCCAAATGTTAATAAAATATTATGAGCGTCGTATACACGAATCTATACTGCCTACGCATGTGTAGTGCATCGTCATTATTTCGACGTCGTTGTATTTAGCATTCAATTACTTTCGTGGTTTATTTTTACAATCTATTGTTCTGCCTAATAAGTTTGACCAAATCCCATCGCTCATCGGCAAGATGGCATGCCTCTACATTACCCGGTTCTAAATGGAATTTTTTGCACGGGTTAGCAGAAAGATTGCTAGACAATACAACGATGGGCAGAGCGGCGAAAAAGGAAGACTTGCAAGGAAGGACCGAGTTCATTAATTATCACGCTGGCGGGGTCTATTACATTCACCCTTCATTCAAATTTTTGATCCACTCGATGGTTATCTAAATTGAACACGATACGGGCTTTACACGATCTAAATTTTAATATTTTTTATCGAAAGAGAATTATTAATTATCAAAACTGTAAACTTTTTATCTTGCCAATTTTACGAATATATGTAAATTGATGTAGAAATGTTTAACCGCAGGTACCCTCGTTGCAGTAAACTTATTTGTATTTCCTAATTTCTCCACAAGGAATTAGAAGTACGAGAAAATCTACGTTGTCTTTCTAAAGTTAAACTGGCAAAATTGCGTAAACAGTTATCACACGGTATGAACGTACAACCGAATATTTGTCGAAAAAATGTGTTTCGACGAACTTGGAGAAGTGAAATTATTGAAGGGATTTTGCGAATATCCAGACAATGCCTCCGACAAATAGTCTGGCGAATTGGGTGGTGCAACAGTGAAACCATCCAGCTTAATGTATGCCGTCCGAATGGAAACTCCTTAGCGCCTAAAATCGTTTTATCGGCGATCGATAGTCGCGATCGATATTCCGCGGCGAGTAGATGGGATCGCAGAGGGCCCGAAAGCGGAGAGATCGGAGATCCTATCGCGTCGGCAGGGAGACTGAAAGAGACGGAGGGAGAGCGGCCCTATTGTTCTTCCACGGGGCCACGCCTCGTGTCTGTAATTACAGACAGGTCCCAGCGAGAGAGCCCTTTGATGCCCGCGCCTCGGTCCGCGGGCTCTCCACATAAAAGGGGCCCCATAGAATCTCCGCAGCGATCGATCCTAGACCTTAGACAGAGGGAAAGAGAGAAAGAAATCTGCCAAAGATGAATCGGCCCGAAATTAGAGATTCGCGATACAACCTGCCGTTCTTTGTGCAGCGTTAGGAATATTAGGGCAAACAATTGCGCATATACCAGTGAAATACATGTATCTATCAAAAGGAAAAGATATGAGTTTGAGAGAGAAAGAGAGAGAGAGAGAGATTTTAAGTAGATGTGACGTAAAAAAGAAAATATGCTTAAGCTAATTAAGAATACCGAAAAGAAAGATAAAGACTTCGTTATAAGTGAGTCTTATGATGATCGGCATTTCATTCATTAATTAGTTAATTAATTTTTATAAGTAATCTACATAGTACTTTTTGATGGTGTAATGTAATGTACTTAAAATCACACACGCGCACCCATACATGTATAAAGTTAAAGATTCACGATATTGCTGGAAAATACCTTGACCAATTTCAATGCCGTGAAAATGAATAGAAATTAGTTTAACGAAAATCTATTGGGCTGGAAGGAACCCAACGCTTTCCTTCCAAATGTTATCGCTATTTATGGCAGATTAATTTTCACCTCGCAAGAGTTAACAATAAAGCGGTCGACTGTTTCCTTGAAATATGTGGCATAAACGATGCGTTTTCACGGCGTGATATCCTCGGAAAATTAGAACGGATCCAAACAAAGCGTTTCCGTGCTTTATGTGACAACTAATCGCCGATCTTCGCCGCGAGCGTGATAGAAAGGAGGAATAAAAAGAAGAAAGGTACGCTTTTACCTGTCTCAAAAATATAACTTTTCGGCGTAAGTCAGTTGGCATAGGCGTTTCCACTGCGTTAAGTTATGTGCGAGGAAAGCGGTGGATGCATTAAAGCGTGGCGAGGCGTTTCGGAGCGCACAATGGTCTTCTTCGCCACTTTTCCTTCACACATTTCGTCGTAACTTACAAATCCGAAATCGAAACGGAATTATCGGCGGACCGATTTCTTAACGTATTTCTTCTCCAATGGAACCATATGTTCGTCTAATAACAGGGATTTTTATAGCAATTTAGATTGCTATATTTTATAGAAGAGATTGCTACACTGAACCTTTTATGTCTGTTGTTCGCCACACAAAGTTTTAAAGTTTTGTTACATAAATAAAAAGAAATCATAAAATATTTTTTAACGTTATTCAAAGGTCGAATTTGTGGGATTATCACAGCTGAGGGGTGGTTTGATAGAATTGGACAAGGACGATACTATATCGAAGTGGTTCCAAAGTATCGGATTACTCAAGTCTACCATTCGGGCTTCGATACTTTTGGTAATAACCAGTAGCTGCTAGGAGATTATCACCGAGACGAATTCGATAGAGGAAATTCATTTCGCGAAGTTGTTCGGTGGCTCAACGGAAAAAAAAACTCGGCTACTCGCTGCTAGCTGGCTTTTGATCAGCTACCGCCAATATCCTATCGACTATCACCGCTAGTGCACCAGTCGACTAATAGACGCGTCTCCAATTTCAGTCAATAGTTTTTTGTGATCGTAAACGCGTCTCAGATTAACTTTGGCGCTTCGACGAGGCGCAAACCCAATTAAGAGACGGTCGTATAACGCATGCCCTGTGACCTTAGTTGCTTCTAGGTAGAGAACAATATGAATTGTCTGGAAATGAAATTTAGTCGCGAAAGGAAAGTGTAGTCAACAGGGACCCGTTGACAGAATTGTTTAATTAACCGTTTTGCCCACTTCTAGTTCTTGAGGAATAAGTAACGATTTTGTTCCAACAAATTTATTTATTTAAACCAACTCCGTACAAAATCAATACTGTTAAAAGTTACCGTTACCGCCGGCATGCATTTTAAAACATATTTTTATCGTTTATTTTTTAATGTTTATTTTATTCCCATAATATATATTTTTTAAATACTTTTATTCTATTTTTATTAGGTTTCGTAGCAAAATTAAAATTTTTCATGTTTACAGGAATTTTAACCACGAATTGTTCCCTGGTCGCTGCACTGCGTTCGTCAGTGAGGATAGCAGAAGAATGGTGGCTTTAAAATTGGCTCGACCTTTTTGGCTGGATGGAATCATAAAGATCGGCGATCGCGAGTGTAATGGCATTCCCCGCTGAGCATTCCTCGTCGTAATCTGTGGGAAGCTGAGGTCCTGACCCCACTACGAAGGAACGTGATCCTGCGAGTGCAAGGCCGTCGCGATTCACGAGATCTCCACGCGAGAGCACAGCAAACGAAAATCTTGGTGCCGCGATGGCGAAGGTATTTGAGACTTTTTCTCAAACTCATTGTCGTCGAATTAGCAACGTGAGCAAAAATCGCGCTGCTTAACTAGCAATCCGTGCAGATTAGAATGAGTATTAGTTGCAAAAATTGATTTGAACACCCTCGCGGTGTTCAATTAGCACGAATAGTGCAATAAAGCAATGGTTATATTTCTGTAATTAATTTGTTCCGATACAGAAGCTCCGATCTGAACGATAAACAATGGATAATTCTACAGGCGTCTTAAATGTTGTCATAAACAAAATTGCCGGTGCTTCTCAAGCGGCTGTATTAATTACTTAAGGAGGTTCGAGCGCTACTTTCTAATCAATAAACACGTTATTGATAAAACTGTATTCCATGGCTAAAAAATAATTTCGTAATAATTTTAGTAAGATTATATTCGTAAATGTCATAAAATATTTTTTAATATTTATTTTACTATTGCAACAGCTTTTTAACTTCTGTCTTATGTAGAAATATGTTAGATAAAAAATTTGAAAAATTATAAGGTTATATGTTTGCATACTACTACTTTATAATAAAATATTTACTAAATGATACGGTAAAACTTATTTAACTTTCTATTATAAATTGTTAGTTTGATTATCTTTTGCATCATATATATACATATATATATTATACAGTAGGTTTATCTTTTATTTGGTCAAACACTCGAACCTCCTTAATCGTGTTCGTGTTACGTTATCAAACTCTTATTTCTAATTACCAAAAAACAATCGGATATAATTCCAAAGTTCGCACAAGTTCGTGTCGACTTTAGAGTATCATTGCGGAAATAACAATATCAAGATTTTAATACGTAATAAAAGAAATACATTTATATTAGAATAATTTTGACAAATTGAGAACCGCTGGAGCATTTGAGCTGCCCTAATTGAAAATCGGTCAAAAACTGACCACCTCTATCTTTGCATGGCAATTCAACCGGTGGCTTCATTAATCGCGACACGGACCTCCAAGCTGCGGCGGCATATTTGATGACTCTGTGACCACCCCATATAAAATGATTCCCTTAATGAAAACACGATCATACGCGATAAAAGATGACCACCTTTGATTACCTCACGGGAGGCTGCGTGGCGTATAGCGGCTCAATATCGTAGCAGTGATTTATTTTCACGGTAGGATTAAAAAGCTAATGAATAATTATCCGATTTAATTATTACATATTGTTCGGCTGACTGTATCTAATGGAAGCATTCAGTTCCTCCTGTATCTATGGTTACGGAATTCAATTTTATTTTCGATACACTCGAGTAAATTATAGAGACACAGTCGTATTGATTTAGTATAAAATTTTCTCCCGCGTTCAAGTTTATAGCTCGATAACCCAAGACGACCTTATAATTATGGATGATACCGGTGATTTCAGATAAAGTATTAGTTACGGGAATGTGTGTTTGTGGGTTTTTTAACTAAGGGAATCTTGTCTATGACAGTCGATTCACCATAGTTCGATTTAATCTCACTCGCGTACGCACACGAAAAACATAATTAGTTTCTAATAACCTCGTGCATTGTTCTTCTTTTTAATAGTACGGTTTACGTCATGATGGAAACCATGACTCAGCAGCACCTGCAGCCTATAACTACGATTTCTATCATTACAACATTCAAGCAGCAACCTCTGTATTGATATTGGATACGTATGAAAAATTTTCCTAAAAGACTAATTGTAAGTGAATTGTAAGCGAAGCGTAAAGAGCAAAGATTCTGTTGGATATGTATAAAGAATTAACGTCTATCTACAGTAATATTCAAATCATTGTTTTTAAAGTTAATTAATTGCTACACATTAATTTGCGACTTGACTCCCAATATTAATTAGTGCTTCCAAATGCGATATTTTAATATCTGTATTTATGCAAATTACTGCCAGCATTAAGAAAACGTAATAAAAATTGTGCAAGTTGCGCACATGTATATTATGCATATGATAATAAAATCCGTCAATCGTTTATTTTCAATTTGTTCTTTCCTACCTTTATTCGTACTTATTTTGCTTTTATAGTAATTTAATTATAAATAACCTTTCTTATTATCGTGGTTTATAATTGTACGACTACGGCACCGTGAAAGATTGCGGTACTCAGATATGGCAAAAGTACATGCTGATCTCTCCTTACAATGTAACGCAGGTAACGCACATGAAACTTTGTATTGAAACACGTTTCACATGCGTGCACCTGCTGCCGCATTTCAGGTAAAAAACTTGAGCGCCTGCAGATTCACATAAGAAACAATTCGGAATATTATCATATATTTTTGCGACGTTATTTAGCACGTTATCGGTTATTATTATATTGCAATATATGTGTACGCGTTGTTTTTTATTTAGTCGACAAGTTCATTCGACGAACTATATCATTATTTGTCTCAGTGTTTTATGGACCGAGAAGAAACGGAGAGATTCAGATTTTAATTTCGTTTTGCGGTAGGAAAAGAGCTAAAAATCTGCGTAAGTATTTATGCGGACCGTGAGAACCGCTATGGCGTATAGGTAAGCAACGCGCTTCGTGTGGTCCACATTGTCCGCGGTCAAATTACATGGAGAGCGGGGTGCTTCTAATGGCAGTTCTCGTTCCCCGAGAGAATCCGCAAGACGAAGATGGTGTGCTCGCTATGAGCGAGGCGGAGACGAGGTGAACGGGACTCATCGGTGAGAGACGGGGAGAACGAAGTTGAGCCGCGCAAAAGAGAAGAAAGGATAAAGCAGGGGGAGAGAGAGAGAGAGGGGGGGGGGAACGATTCTCCATTGAAAAGAAGGAGAGAGAGGCTCGATTCGACGTGCTTCTTTGATCCTTGAGAGCGAGACGACAGGGCGGGAGGACAGAGCCACTCATATTCCGACATCACTTTAGCTTCGCCCCGATCCTACTACTGCCACGCGACGGCCGTGAAGTGAACGGAACACCTGCTCGCTTCGTTGACATGCAAGGAAAATTTTTCAAGCGACGAGGATAACACGTACGATAACGAAACCCCGCTCACATGTTGGAATCTTGGGATACGAACATATAAATGACAAGTTTCATAAGCGATATGTAGTCTGATATGTATGTTCACTCAGCGAAGAGTAATTTTTTTCAACCTTTTCACTCTCGTAAACATTATCAATCATATTTTTGTATTACGTATGTCGAGTATTATGGTGTGTCGAATAATTTAAATTTAGTTTTGTAATTGTGCAATTCCTTCTAGAAAAAAAAATAGAAGTTGTCGTTTGTACTTTCTAAAAGTCAATCAGTGGATTATCACTACACGAGTTCTTTTCCATCTAGGTTTACGGATCCTGAATGGTGACGCCAAGATATGCTCTTTCACGCGTGCTTGCAAATTCTCGATACGAGAAAACCGTATCCTCCGAATGTTCCCCTCAACTTCTGATCCATCTCGACAGTCGAGCTGGTTCCGCCTGAAAGGCGCTGCGGATATTTTCCTCCGTATCACATTGCACAATGCACCCCCGTGCACGTCTTGATCGTGCGCCGTGAGGCACCGGGCGATCATTTCGATCCGCGGAATCACGGATGTTAGCTCGTTCCACACGGTTTCGACATCGAGGAAGTTGGCTCGATCCACGCTGGCTGCTGGCTGGCAGTTGGCCCCGAAGAAACATCGCAAAACCTCCCGTCCGGTAATAACCGTTGCACCGGTGCTATCCAGTCATTACCAGCGAGCTTTGGCTCGGCGCATCAACCTAATACGTTTTTCAGGGTGGTCTGTTTAAACCCGCGCCGTTACACTACACAAATATTCGCCTACGGTTCACACTTCTCGATCCTCGAAAGCTCATGCGTGTAAAGTCCAGAAATTTTTTATTCCAAGCTTCAGGAAGATTCTCAAAATCCAGCAATTATGAGAAAAATTATGGCAATTTTTCACACGCAGTTGCTGGTTGAAACAATTCGGATGGTATTTATTAACTCTTGAAATTTATTTCTTTCGTTTTTATGTATTCTCGTTATCTCCTTAATGCTAAATGATTGGCTCTTTTATCTGTGTTGAAACATCATTAGCTGTCAGGAGCAATGTGCCGTGAACTTTGCAAAAAATGTGCTATTAAGCGAACGTGAAACCATTATAACTCATTAAACGCGATTTATGGTTATCGATGCAATATCGGATCTGGCGTTTCTTATGTACCGATCTTGATGAATTAACGGAATCTCAGGTTATTTACGTTATGGCAAAAATGCTTGAACAAAGTTCAACATGCATAAAATGACCATAACGATTTATTCTTCTATTTATTATTAGTATTCTTGTAGATATTACACAATTTTCCGGGGAAGAAACATAATTGTACCAAATACGCGAATATTATAAATTAGTTTTTCGTCGCATATTAAGAAAAATGACTATGCTGCAAAACTGCTGTGCATAATATCGTGAAATCGAAACAGTGACATCATTTTGCTAATATTAAAAGACTATTGTATAAATCTCTTAAACATTGTTTTTATAGCATCAGTGATTTTTATTGACCGTATCTGGCAATTTTTATAATACAGAAAATTTATTGCGAAAAATATTACCTCAGCCAGGGTTTGAACCTGGACCTCCCTTCTCTCTAAGCGGGCGTCTCAACCAATTCGACCACCGAGGCATATGATAATATTAGTCGCAATAATTGTTTATATATTTATTGCATGAAATTGTACACGGAGAGAATTTTCTCTTAAAAGAGTGAGAGCAAGTGTCCGTAGGCAAATGACCCTGTTTTTTTCGCCTTCGATTTTGGTCACAAAGTAGGTGCCAAAGGTCTCGTCAAGCTGATTGCAGATATGTCGGTCTCAGAGTGTACCTATTTAACGTTCCAGTGATATCGGGCTCCAAAGGTTCCAGTGCCGGAAAATGTTTTAGTCGACTCCAACCCGGATCCATCAAACAGTGCCAGCCACTTGGCCAAGAGCCTTTGGTACCTGGTCATTTTGTTAAAGCGATTCAATACCATTCTGAACATGTTAGTGACAGAAGAATTGGCCTTTCGCTCTAAAAGGTAGCTCTATTCTCGTAGCTTGGAGCCCGATATCTCTGGAAATTAGGTTAAATAGGTACACTCTGAGACTGACATATCTGCGATCATCTTGACGAGACCTTCCGTTTGGTACCTACTTTGTGACCAAAATCGAATGCGAAAAAAGTGGGGCCGATCTTGTTCTCACTCTTTACTCTGAAAATCATGTAATCGTTGGACAACGTGGTATTTCGAAGAATCTAATGAGTGGTTTTTGAAATTTCACCACACATTCTACTAATAAAATGTATACTAACAATATAAGTATAATTATTAGTAGAATATATAATAAAATTTCAGAAAACTCTCGTAAGATTCTTCGAAATGCCATGTTGTCCAACGATTACGTGATTTTCGGGATAAATTTTAAGAGAAAATTCTCCCCGTGTATAAAACTTAAAAAGTACATGTGTATAACATCGTACATTATAATTATCAGATCTACGTGTTGCATTAAACTCTATGAAAAACGATATAATAAAGATATTCTATTTATACCTCAATTAGCATACTTGCTTATTATCTTAATCTTACAAAGACAAGCCACATTTCCCCCATTAATTTCGATAAGTTACTGGTACGTTCTCTTAATGAGGCGCGCAGCTTATCTTGTATCTCAAGGTACCTCGGAAGCGTCAGAAATCTCGCGGCAAATTAATCTAAATTGCTCGATATCGTCGCTGCGCTCGCGGCGCGCGCGTCCCGCCGATGCGTCTCGAGTAATCAACAGGATGTAGATATCGCTCGACGCTTCGGAGCAAATCTGCTATTTAATCAAAATGGCGACGGCACGGCGGGAGTCCCATTCGCGGCGTCAAAACGTGCACTTACGTCGTTATCGCGTTTACATTAGGCCGGCATTGCGCGTGCAGCCACATCGCGGCGCGCTGTTAAACCGGGTGGGCCGACGGTATTTCCCGAGCGTATCGTCCCGACACCCGGCGCGTATCCCCCTCAAGGTGGACTCGTTTACCCGGATACGCGACGGCGTGTTGCGCGCTGCCTCCCCGCGAATCTCGTCATCGATCGTATCCCCCGCGCGCATCCACGCCCGCCCACCCCCGCTTGTGCGGTCGCGCGCGCTTTTAATGGGCCGCATTAATTTTGTAATTAAATCGTCGCGGATAATAACAGAGCACGATCGTGGGCGCCTCGATCGACCGGCAGTTCCACGTCATGACGAGATTATTAAGGACCAATTACAGCGCGCTTTATCGGCGGATAGACCGCACCGCGGATTCGCCCGGGCACCGACAACCGCCCTCTACTTATGCTGACAGTGATTTATGGCGAGGCTTGCTCCTACCTGGATTGCTTATTTATTGGAGAAATTAGCTATGGGCCCGTATGTCACGAAGAAGCGCTCTCCCGCTTCGGCGATATCGCGCGCGCGCGCGCGCGCGAGCGTAAAAACCCCATCAGCTGCAGATGAGGCTGCGGTAGAGAGCGGAAGAAAAATTTGAGAAAATCCATTTTCTCAAGAACCGCTAAACAAGAACGAGAGTCATGGGGCAACGATCTCACGCCGAGTACATTAAGCTCGGGCCCGTTTTACTTCTTGCCCCGCGGTAATTTCGCGCCTGTGCTTGCGCTCCCGTGCACACGTAAAATCCAGGCTGCGAGACGCAATTGTGACGTTCCTCGAGAAGAAACACAGATATCCGGTGTCTCATTATCGGATTTTACCGCGTTGCCGTGCCGTTGGCGGAATTTACAATCGCTCGCGAGCGCCCCGGTTCCCCATGATTCCGCCTCATCATTAATCGTTCGCCGCGCAATCCCGATGACCTCGATTCGACGATTCTCTAATAGTGCAAATCCCCGCGGGCACCGGGCATTCTCCAACGGCACCGGATAAACTTAATCGATCGCACCCCTGGCGCGCGCGCGCGCGCGAGCAAAATGGTCGGACAGCGCGACCGATTGGAAGATTTCACTTTTAATTAAGTGGCCTCGGAATCGGCGACGAGAATCGAGATGTAAAATAAATTAGCGGCAATCTCTCTGGAAAACGATCGATCGTGCGCGCGC